CCTTAGGGAGGCGAGGCTGATAGGTCCTAGGCCCTTAGATCGTTGCCCTTGAATATGTACTTGTGAGCTGCCCATTTGGAAATCCATGGTGAGGCGGGCCCAATCACATATCACCGGCCCTAGTTGCCTTAACCATTGGACTCCGAGAACGACATCTGCTCCACTGATTTCCAGGGGGTGTAGATCCACCTCGAACTCATGTCCTTGTATCCTTATCTTTAATTCTGTGCACGTACTGTCACATACCAGGTTGCTCCCATTAGCTACATGCACCCGAAAGGCAGCACATGGTTGGACTGGAACCCCTAGTTGCCTGACCAAGGTTTGGGTGATGAAATTGAGGGTGCTGCCACTGTCTATCAGAATCGATACATGGCGCCCCTGTATCAGTCCGGTTACTCGCATCGTTTGAGAAGAAGCAAGACCGGTCAAGGCTTGCAGGGATACTTCTGGGTATTCCTTGGTCTCTGGTACCCATTCTTGGTCATCCCTTGGCTCCTCAATGTTGGCTGATTGCTCGACATATTCAGTTTCAGGTTGCAGGAAGAAAACTTGCGGGACCTTACAACGATGGCCTGACCCGAACTTGTCTCCACATGCGTAGCAAAGGCCCTTTTCTTGTCGGGCTTGCATCTCAGCCCAGGTTAACCTCTTGGCTGAGCCGGGGCTTGAACCAGAGCTGGCATCCTTGCCTGTGATTCCTACTCCTGATCTGGGCTTTGGTTTACCCAAGATTCCAGGTTCTTGGTTGGTTACATCAGGTCTGATCGCAGCTCCCAGGGGTCGGCTGATCCTTCTTGCCCAGTTTATTTTGTCTTTATGTAATTGGGCTATTGCTGCTGCTTCAAGAACGGTGGTGGGCTGCATGGCTTTTACCTCCAGCCGCAATTCCTCCTTAAGTCCTCCAACAAAACTGCTGACAAGCGCGTTTTCTGGCCAGCCTTGCACGCGCACTGCCAATCTTTCAAACGTCATCTGATAATCTTGGACGGAGCCGGTCTGTCGTAGCTTAGCGAGGCTTTCGTCATAATTCTCAAAGGCTGAGACCCCAAATCGCATGGTTAAGACGTCGGTGAAGTCGGCCCAGGTGGCCCTTGGGTGTTGTCGCCGGTACCATTGGTACCAGACGATCGCCTCTCCTTCCAGGTGTGCAGAGGCTAGTGGAACACGATCAGGGCCTTGTGTGTCGTGGTAATCGAAGCATCTTTTTGTTCGCAGAAGCCAGGAAGTGGGATCTCCTCCTGTGAAGATGGGAAACTTGATTCTTGCAGTTCTTGATCCACTTCGATGACCGGTGTCACTGCGTTCTTCCTGAATTTGCGCAGGTGGTGCCTGTGCCAGTCTTTCCAGCAAGGATGCAAAGCTTTCTTTGATTTCTTTGACATCGGCTGATATTCTTTGCATTTCTCCTTCCATGTAATCGACTCTGTTCTCCATTGCTGATGATG